TGACCTCTGTGTTATAACCTTTGCTCTGGGGCTCTCAAGACACTTTTCTTCATTTGGAAGCTGGGGAAGAGTTCGTCTCCTTCTCTCTCCCTGGCTAGTCAAGGAAGTTGCAGAGCCAGTACTTCTCACTGTCATGCCAGACTCACTGATCTCTGTCTCTATAAAATAAAAAACACAAAGAAGCAACTAATTAAGACAAAAGATGAAAATAAAAGGAGCAGGAGTATCATACAGTTGTCTGTCAGTGTCCACAAAGACTGGTTCCAGATCCCTTCTTCTCCCAGGATACCAAATTCCAAGTATGCTTGAGTATCCTATAGAAAGTGATGTAGTATTTGTATATAACCTACTCACACCCTCCCATATACTTTAAACCATCTCTAGATTACTTATAATACCAAATACAATGTAAAAACTTTACTGTAAATAGTTGTTATACTGTATTGCTTAGTGAATAAACAAACAAACAAAAAAGTCTGTACATGTTCAGTAGAAATGTAATCACTCCTTTTTCCCCTCCCAAATATTTTCAATCCTCAGTTGAATTCAGATGCAAAACCCACTATTACAAAACCTATGCATACAGAGGGTCCGCAATATTACATTAGACTTTGAGATGTAAGTTAAAAATGACTTAAGTATAAAAAGCAAATGAGCTAACACTGTGACTAAGTAGTTTAAAAAGTAAGTACAATTTCAAGCTGCACAAATAAGCAATTCCTAGAGGAGTTAGGAAGGACAATTGCATGAGATAAAAAGAAGAGTCATCTGATCTTTCATATATTTTCTATTTACTGACTAAATTATACATATTTGTGGCATACAACATGATGTTTTGATAGATGTATGCCATTATGCAATGGCTATGTCAAGCTAATTAACGTATCTATTACCTTACATACTTATCTTTCTTGTGGTGAGAACATTTAAGATCTACTTTCAGCTATTTCAAATATACAATGCATTGTTATTAACTATAGTCATAATGGTATATAAGGGTCATTCTGATCTTAAACTTAAATATATTGCTATTCTTTCCTCTTAATGCATTTTATAGAAGGAAAGTTCTCTGTGCTCATTCTCACTTTTGTAACTTTCCATCCTTGAGGTTTGCTCAAAAAACCAGAATCTAACAATTACAGATTTATACAGAGAATGTCTAATAAATATTGTTTATTTTCTATATTTTCAATTACATAGTAGAGAAGAACAACATACCTAGTTTTTAAAAAGCATTAGTATCCACTTGAAGAAAAACAATTTTGGATTTAAGTAAAATTAAAAATACAGAACTTTAACAAGATTTTAAAAATAATCTATAGCTGATTTAAAGAATTTTTAAAATTATAAAATAGCAGACTTTTCATAGTTAGAAAATGGGAAAATTTTATAAATTGAGGGATTTTTAAATTATAGTCTTCTGGCTATTAAGCCCACATACGGAAATACACAGTCCCTTTCTTTTTTATCAAGTAAGTAGAAGCCAATGAGAAAATATATATTTTGATTTTTCCACGAGAGAATTTAAGAACATTTAAGAATTTTCTTGACTGTTAAAAATGGAAAGTATTTCTGAGAAAAGGGAAACATCTTTTCAGGGAAATGTAAATTAACATATAAAGCTTCCTAATCTTTTAGGGATAAATGGAGAAAAGATACTAGATATAGCTTCTCTGGGTCTTTTTTTTCTCTTTACAATCTTAAAAGTTTAGTTTTTAAATATCATATCAATACAATGGTTATGATAGAGGAAAATACTTCCTGAACTGATATTTAACTTTCATTTAGTCATTAATCATGTTATATTTTATTTTGTTTCTTCTTTCATATGTCTTATCTCCTTAGTGCTAACTGAAACATTTAAAATGTAATGCTACTTTACCCTTTTGTATTTTTCTAGTATTTCTCATACTGCCCCGCTCTTAATATATATTCAATATGTTTAACAAAAACATTTTAGGATTTAAATGGGTTTACCAGCTTATTTAAATAAATTCATTTAGAATATGATAAAACAGAAATGAAACTATGAAAGCTAAGCGGTCTATTATTTTTTACAACAAGGGTAGAATTCTGCTTTTCTCAGAAAATAGTAAATGACTTCATGATAAATTTTTTGGTAAATTTATCTAGCCTTCTGTCTGGTTTGTTTCCTAAACATAATTTATATGAAACAAATGATTTTCTTCCCTCCAAAGAATTTCTGGTAATACTGTCAATTACTTCTAGATTCTAACATAAATAAACGATGTAGCTTTTCTAGTACAATGCTATGTAACTTCCTCAAATACTTCTAATACTTACAAAATTCTTAAAACAGATTTTTGGGGTGCCACAAGCCTGAGACAAAACAAATTTCCATTTTCAACAAGAACAAAATTAAGATAACAGATAAAATCCAGCTACAAAATTTCACTGAAGGTCTTTTTGTTTTTAACTATAAATGAGTATTTATTTTTCAACTTGGGTAAGTTTTTAAATTTTTTATTGTAAGTTGACAATTTATAATTGTAGATATTTATGGTGTACCAAATGATGACTGTAAGTACAATGTGAAATAATTAAATCAAGCTAGTTAGCATATGCATCAACTCGAACAGTTAACATTTTTTGTGGTAAGAACATCTAAAATTTACTCTTAGCAGTTTTGAAATGTACACTACTATATTATTAACTATATTCACCATGCTGTGCAATAGACCTCAGGGGAAAAAAAAAAAGCTTCTTCCTCCTAACTCAGATTTTGCACCTTTTGACCATCATCTCCTCATCCCCCTTTCAGGGGCTTATTTTTAATTAGGAAACTAATGAACAAATAATGAAATCCTTGGAGGCATATGATTTCATTTTGTCTAAAAAGCCTTTATATTTCTGTTCACGAAAATATAAAAGGTAATAAAAATCAGACTACATAGATTTGTAAGATTATTCCTTTTCATTAAACGTATGACATAAAGAAGGCACTCAATATGTTTTATTTATGAATAAAATTGTTTAGACCTATCTTCACCTTATTTTTAACTTTTAATTTATATGTATGAAATATATATATGCTTAATCTATATAGGTAATATATATACACATATATATATGCTTCATTTACAAATTATTTCCTTATCTTCACTTAAGATTATACTTTAATGATAGCTGCATTGGTCAAAATCAGCATATCAGAAAGAGTAGGAAGAATTTTCATTTAAAAGTAAAAACACAACATTTAAAAATCATTCTTATTTTCAACAGCAGAAATTTACAACTAAAAGGAAAAGTGCCTTGGAATGAACTATCAAATCCAAGCTGGTGTCTGTCCATCTGTCTGTCCTTAGGAAGTTCTGACTTATGAAGTCCACAAAGTCTCTTTAAAAAGTTTTATCACTCTGAATTTTTCCCCTGCTTAAAATCCCTCAAAATATAAAATGTCTAATAAAAACCTGCTTTTTATTTATTAAAAAATTCATATATCAGCATGAGATCAGCATATGAATATGTTTATTAAGGTTTAACTTACTTTTTACTATATAGATTTGGCTTGTCTTTTATAATAACAACTGATATATGATTCACAAAAAAGCAGAGAAGGAAACAGTAAGAGAGAAAGAGAGAGAAATGGAGAAGGAGAAGAAAAAAGGGAAAAAGAATGAAAGGGAGAAAGAATGAAAGGGAGAAAGAGAAAGAATACCATTCTCTAAAGGAAGAGGTGCAGAAAAATCCATTATCCTTTCTTCTTGATCATGCCTTGTATGATTAGCAGCCAAACTAGCCCACTGTGAAACCCAACGTTTGCTTCCCGATGAAGATGTGCCTTCCTAAAGGAGGAGAAAAATAAGAAAGTAATGCAGCCTGGTCATACTGGAGTCTCATGAGCAAGAGCTTCATTTAGTCACATTAACTTATCATACAAACCCATAATAAACCTCACCTTGCTATATCAATTATTAAATTTTCTCTTACATAAAATAAAAATTCTCTAGAAAATAAAGATTTTCTCTGAAAAAAAAACAAAAAAAAAAAAAAAAAAAAATCTAAGTCACTAAAAATGACATCTCTCAATGAAAATCCAAGACAAGCCAAGGCTTCATATGAAAACCGTAATGACAAGCAGGGAGTGGAAAGCTATGACAAAAACTTTATTTTGAACTAGATTTTATTAAAAGTGTCAGATTTGGGGCGGGCGCAGTGGCTCATGCCTTTAATTCAAGCACTTTGGGAGGCCGAGGTGGGTGGATCACAAGGCCAATTTTAACATTAATAAACAAACACATGGGTCTATTTACCTGTATGTAAAAAAAAAAAATCTTATTTATACTTCATACAAATGTAACATTTAATTTATATTTATTTATACCTTTAGATTTTCTTCGATTTGTATTTTATATTAATTTATATTTGTATATTACAAATTAGCTCATTCCTGAGAGACAGTATAGCATAATGAGTCAGAGAACGAAAGCTTCCATTGAATGTTAGCTCTTATTATCTGAATAAATAATACTTCTTAGTTTTTTTCTTTTTTTTTTTTTACATTTCTTTTTGACACAACAATGTGGCATGAATTTCTAGTATCATTTCTGATAAAGGTAAAAAGCATTTGTTAAGTGCATAAATCTCAGGCAAGTACTATGCTGGATGCTTTACATACTTCATAAAGTTCTCTACAAATAGATTTTATCAAAAATGCCATTTGTGTAGATGAGAAAACAGAAGATAAGACAGAAGTGACTGATTCAAAAGCTCTGAGCTAAAAATGGCAGCTGAGTGAGGCCTTTCTGGCTCTACTATACATACTGACTCTGTAACTATCTTAACTAAGCAATCCTTAATTAATTTCATATTATTCTAATTATATCCTGGGCTATACTGTATTTACACTTACTGTGGTATATAAATCGTATCTATCAGAAGTACCCAGGTACATGTTTCTTGGTATGATATACAGGAAACATATACTTCCCAAGAAAGTATAAGCAGCATATGTTTCTTGTCTTATCTTATAATGCCAGTCAGAACCATGAGTATACAGTTCATTAACTGCTTATTGAAAGGTAATATTTTCCTCATCAACAAAAGAGTATTTTTAAAATCTAATAAAAACTAAAGTTGAATTACTGAAAAATTGCTTTAGGCTTTCATTAGAAAATAAATTTGTAATAAGTTAGTTTTTAGAAGCATTTTACAAGGAGATACACTGATTGCTTAAAATAATGTCATTTACAGATGATACGAATTCAGGCCAGGTGTAGTGGCTCACTCCTGTAATCCCAGCACTTTGGGAGGCTGAGGCAGTGGATCATTTGAGGTCAGGAGTTCGAAACCAGCCTGGCTAACATGGCGAAACTCCGTCTCTATTGAAAATAAAAAATTAGCTGGGCATGGTGCTGCATGCCTGTAATCCCAGCTACTTGGGAAGCTGAGGCAGGAGAATCACTTGATCCAGGAGGCAGAGGCTGCAGTGAGCTGAGATTGTGCCATTGCACTCCAACCTGGGCAATAAAGCGAAACTCCGTCTCAGCATGGGTGGGGGACAGGGAGAACTTATACTTTATGCATACAAATAGGTACACAGAAGAGATGTATACCTCTGAGTGGTGAAATCCAGATGCAGTCAGTGGTTTTCTTTCTTCCATTACTGCAGCAGCAGAACTGAGAGCCCAATCTTTTATCAGATCTTTATGTTTTTCATTGATAACAGGCCTATTATAATCCTGATTGTCATCTACTCCAAACACCTAGAGGGAAAAATTATTTTATAAATGAAAGTGAAGAGTCTGAGCAAAAGATAAAATGTAATTAACGTCAGAGGCAAAAAAATATATATATATTCTGAATTAATTTTAACAGTTAATTTCAAAACTAAGGAAAACCTGAATGACAGTAACAGCCAATTATGACAGCTGGAAAGGAAAGTAGGCAGTCACAGCTTATGTGAAAGTAACTATCCTTTTTTAACATTTAGCAAATGTCTTGTTTGATTAAAAAAAGAAATATTCAAGACATATTTCATTTGTTAAAAGACTTAACAGTCCAGGTGCGGCGGCACACACCTATAATCCCAGCACTTTGGGAGGCCAAGGCCGAGGCAGGCAGATCACCTAAGGTCAGGAGTTTCAGACCAGCCTGGCCAACACGGTGAAACCTTGTCTCTACTAAAAATACAAAAATTAGCTGAGCGTGGTGCTGCACACCTGCAGTCCCAGCTACTTGGAAGGCTGAGGCAAGAAAATAACTTGAACCCAGGAGGCGGGTTACAGTGAGCTGAGATTGCGCCACTGAACTCCAGCCTGGGTAACACAGTGAGACCCTGTTTCCAAAAAGAAAAAGAAAAAAAAAAAAAGGATTTAGTAACGTTAAACACTATAATAATGCAAAGAGTTACAAAAGAAATAGTATCTCTTCAGTTTGTTTTCAGCTTGTTTCTTTGCTCTAATATTTTTGTGATACCTGTTGAAAAGCTCTAAACATGTGGCTCATTTTATCTTTCCTTCCCAAGCAAATGTTTAACATTCACATATCTGTGTTAAATTCATACACATAATTTTCTAAGATGCCATTTTATTGTATAATTGTGACATATTGGATAGCATAATTCTCAAACTGTATTTGCCTAACAACCACTTAAAAACCTTTGTTTGAAATACAAGCTCCAGGCCTATTTAGTCGGATTAACTATTTCAAAAAGCAAGATGTCAATGTTCAACACTTTTGAAAAGTTCTAAATACAAAGACAAAAACAATCGTATGTTTGCTTTTTTTAATGGGCGGGACACGAGTTTTACTCATTTCCTGGCAAATAACAGGCCCTGGATGTTGCAGAATAGATTGGAAAAGTTTTAGGTGTATAAATTTTAACATTCTATTCTGCTATTAAGTCTCTACTTTGTTCCCAATTTTTATTCTTTATAGTTACTGCTTGCGGCTCTGATTATTACAATCTAGAAAAACATCATGTCTTTGAATGAGCAATTTGTAGATACGATCTTTAGGATATAACCAGATAGCCTTCATTTACTATAAGGGGAAACTACCTCAGGCTAAACTATTTTCTAGATATTAAGTTTCAATGGTCTTATAGTACAGCTATACAGAAAGTTCTAATGTTCACATTTAGTGAAACAGATATTGTACTTTCTCATTCACTAAAACTTGAAAATTTTACCACTAGATGGCCTTATTACTTCATATTTAATTCTAACATTACAGTTGTCAAGAATTATGATTTAATTTTCTCTTGAACTCCACAATATTTAAATTATCTTTGCTTCAAGGGCAAATTATATATTGTTAATTTTAAATCAAGTGTGAATTTTAAAACATGGAAGCACAGTGTACAGAAGGGAAAAAACAAAAACTGCTTCATTTTACTTAATATTAGAGTTAAGTTTAACAGCAGTGAAAAACCCAGAATATTACCTGTGTCCTCTACCTTTAGCCCCCATTCGTAGAGAAAGCAAATTATAGCTATTCAAGTTAATTGTGTCTGTCTTTAAAAAAATTAATAATTCCTAACTCAAGTCATTAAACTCTAATGTTACTGAAGTTTATTCCCTTATTTTATAATTACTAAGGAAACTCTAACTCGTTTGAAAGTAAAAATAACCATATCAACTTGCATTTTTGTATCTCTTTGACATGTAATTTAGATATTACCTTAAGTGATTTTCTGATTTATTAATATTTAATTCTTATCCACATTAAAAACTTGATTTCCTCAAACATCTAAGCACGAACGAGCAGTTTCAAATAAAATCTCATGAACCTCTCTAAATCACTTCTGACACCACTTTGAAATGACAACAAAAACACACGAAGAGCTAATCCTGTGAGGAAGGGGAGCTGCAGTTAGACAAAAAATACTTGGATGACATCTGACAGATTCCTTTTAAAGCATAAGAGACAGCTATACATACATTATTAAGTAAATAACAATTATTTCCTCTCGAAACCAGTGGTAGGGCCTGAACTATTACAGTTTAGAGACAGAAGCCTTCCAATTTCATATCTGTTTTGAGAGTGTTTTGAAAAATTAATGATAGCAATGACTACCAGTCCAGATTGAAATCCACATCTACTCGTTTCTATGTCAAAGTAGAAAAACATCCAATTGCGACAACTTTTGTATGAAAATAAAAATACAAAGTTTATACTGTCTATATACTTAAAGCTAGTGTACTTTTCATACTTCTAAAAGGTACCTACAATCTGACAGAAGAGCTAATAATTGTACAGAACTTGAGAGCTCCTCAAAATCAAGACCCAGTATGCTAGGTTTTTTCACCTTTCATTCTATTCTGTTCCTAGGGGATTTCACCTAAGAACATCCAAGGCTTCACTTCAGTTACTAACTATAGTTGGTTGCTCACCAGTCACCCCACCTACTGGAAGGCTCAAAGGTATTTCAAATGTGAGCTCTAGGCTCATGATTCTCTTCCCTTCCTCACACTGATCTGCTCTCAATCAAAATCCCAAATATGAGATAGTACAAAAGCCAGGTCTCTCATTCAGCGAGGAGCTTCTGTAGGCTAGAAGTCCACAGTGGGGAAGGAGATGAGATACCTAATTTTTATACTTCCTCTCTAATAGAAGCTTGCACCCCAAGTTCGCCAGTCAGTTTCTAATTCTTCCAGAATAGGAACAAAGGAAGGTGAAATAGGACAGGAACAGAAAATGTCTTTGTGAACTTGCACTTGCACGCAGAGCTGTCTGGGCCCAGCAGATGTTTAAAGACAACTCATTTGTACTGGGGGTAGGAAGTGGCTTTCACATGTTCTATCCTACAGTTCCCTTTATCCAAGTAGATACACCCCTATTTGTGGAGTGGGCTGTGACCCCTACCCTGTGGTCTCTGGGCTTGAGGTAAGAAGCAGTACCTCCCCTCCCTATCCCACTCCAACAATCATGCAACAATCTTTTCTTCTGAATACATACGGATGATATTTGGTGTTTCACTTTGGGATTTCACATCCAAAGCTCAGTGGCTACTGTAAACAATTTTAACAACCTGTTACTGGGGAATGGCACTTACTATCCACAGGCTACTTGTCTAGCCCCTATAGGGGATTACAAAAATCTGTATGCTTTTGAGGAGGTTAGGTCTCATAAAGGAGCTTAAAAAAAGAACAGAATGTAAGCTGAAAGAACCATGCAGGACTGTTCTGTAGCTAAAACCAAATATCCGTAAGAAACAAACTCTATTTTTAGTTTTAAAAGAGACTAAACATTCTCCAGATAACAAAGTAATACAATACAAACCAAACCTATGAAAAGTTTGACTCTAATTTTTTTCACTAGCATATTATGATCATAGTCATTATTATTTAAAAGCTCAGTCTGTGCTAAGAAAGTCCACGGTGTCCAATTCTGAAACCAGAATGGTGAGGATGAAGGATACAAGGTCAGCTTTTGTGGGGATAAACATCCCATCTATTCAATGTTTGTAGAGAGGTCAAAATTTATATTTAGTAACATCAGATACAGGAAGCCTGCTGATTGTGACAGAAAGTAGAGACCATTGTGAAGGAAGAGAAGGGCCATGGGGTAAGATGTAGGCATAAAAATATAGTAATGCAATATAGAGTAAAACGATAATTCAATAGCAATATGCTAATTTATTAGTTTAAAAAATATCCGAATCAATTGGAATTCAGAATTCTTCCCACAGAAATGAGAAATATAATGGCAGATTAAATACCTAACTTCTACAATCTTAAAGTAACAACTGAAAAATAGTATTGTATTAGTATATCAATCACATGGCCAAGTAAAAATGTACTTAAGTTTCAACCTCAGATAACCAGAACATCTCTCTTCTCAATGAGCAAAGACTTCTTGGGTAAGGAGAGCAGGGTCTGTTAGATCAAATCAATAGCAGAGGTTCTCACAGCCCATGAAAATAATTTGACACAAAATTACTTTAAGAATTATGCAGAATTCTAGCCACTAGTGTCAAGGAACTAAATCAGGATGATTTAAGAGCAGAATTTATTTTTGTAATTTTCCATGAAAATCTAACTTTACT